CGTCTTCGTCGTCGTCGTCGTCCTCTTCGTTGTCTTCGTCGTCGTCACCGCCGACGCCTCCCTCGCCGTCGCCGTCGTCGTCGTCGCCGTCGTCGTCATTGTCGTCGTCGGTGTCGTCGTCGTCGTCGTCGTCGTCGTCGTCGTCGTCGCCGTCGCCGTCGCCGTCGTCGTCGTCGTCGCCGTCGCCGTCGCCGTCGCCGGCGCCGTCGCCGTCGTCGTCTGCGTCGTGGGGGGCGTTCGCTGCCCACCCCGCCAACGCAGCTCCGACGCGGTCGAGGGCGGGCTCCACGCAGCAGCTCGGGAGCAGAAACTCGTAGGAGCGGACAGAGCAGTACCGGCGGGCGCGGAACCTCTTGGGCACCTTTCTGCGCTTCCTCCTCCTCCTCCTCCTCCTCCTCCTCCTCGTCCAGCCTCCTACTCCTCCCTCCCTCAGCCACCCTCGCCTCCTCCTCCTCCTCCTCCTGCTCCTCCTTCTCCTCCTGCTCCTTCTCCTCATCCTCCTCCTCCTCCTCCCTCCTCCTCCTCCTCCTCCTCCTCCTCCTCCTCCTCCTCTCTCCTGCTCCCCCTCCTCCTCCCCCTTCCCCTCTCCACCCCCTTCCCTCCCACCTTCTCCATTTGTTCCTCCTCCTCCGCCTCCTCCCTCTCTTCCTCTTCCGCCTTCCTCCTCCGCCTTCCATCTCCGCCTCTCCCCATACCTCCTCCCTCCACCCTCCTCTCCATCCTCCTCCTCCTCCTCCTCCTCCTCCTCCTCCCCCTTGTCCGCCTCCTCCTCCACAATTACACAATATGAATCCCACTCTCCTCTCTCCCCTGGTGGCGTCTGGGGATTGGTCGACCCTCCTCCGCGTACTGGTTTTTACCTAACAGCTCTTGCTGATAGATTTCTAGTGGTCTCAAAAGACAGCATCATGACTCCTCAGGGGGGTCTGGGCGGGACCCGGGGAGGCTGCCGCCGAAGCCGAAATCGCTTGGGACATCCTCGCAAAATCGCTCTTGGTGCTCCCAGAACTCCATTCCCAGGCCACATTTTGGATGCCCGGAGCCAACTGTAGGCCACTTCGTGCTCTTCGACTTCCCAGAACTCCATTCCCGGGCCACATTTTGGATGCCCGGAGCCAACTGTAGACCACTTCGTGCTCTTCGATTTCCCAGAACTCCATTCCCGGGCCACATTTTGGATGCCCGGAGCCAACTGTAGGCCACTTCGTGCTCTTCAAGTTCCCAGAACTCCATTCCTGGGCATGATTTTGAATGCCCGGAGCCAACTGTAGGCCACTTCGTGTTCTTCTAGTTCCCAGAACTCCATTCCTGGGCCACATTTTGAATGCTGAGGCAGGCTGATGCTGCGGCCGAGGCAGGCTGAGGCTGAGGCAGGCTGAGGCTGAGGCCGAGGCTGAAGGCAGACTGAGGCTGAGGCTGAAGCAGACTGAGGCTGAGGCTGAGGCAGGCTGAGGCTGAGGCTGAAGCAGGCTGATGCTGAGGCAGGCTGAGGCTGAGGCTGAGGCTGATGCAGGCTGAGGCTGAGGCAGGCTGAGGCTGAGGCCGAGGCTGAAGGCAGACTGAGGCTGAGGCTGAAGCAGGCTGAGGCTGAGGCTGAGGCAGGCTGAGGCTGAGGCAGGCTGAGGCTGAGGCTGAGGCAGGCTGAGGCTGAGGCTGTGACTGCGACTGCCGTTGCCGCTGCGACTGTCATCGCGAATGCGACTACGACTGCGGGAACAGCAGAATTCGACAACTGGATTTTCATCTGAATCTTAAGGGGAATGCTTTCAGATATGCTTCTACACATCGCTGTTAGGTTGCTTTGCCGGGATAATTTACATACAGGATTCCCCGGAGTTGGGTTGTCCCTTGGGTTGTTTTTCAAAATACTGCTTTCGCTGAAGCGCTGGCCTCATCTTCGGGCTACCGCTCGTTCCGAATCGTGCTCCCGCTGCAGCGCTGGCCTCATTTCCGCGCTTCCGCTCGTTCCGAATCGTGCTCCCGCTGTAGCGCTGGCGTCAGTATTTCCAGCGACATGCCACGGCATGGTTTTTGGTCATTCCAAAGAGGCTTCAAAACAATGGCCCCCCGAAGAAACCATCGGCAGTGATTGCACATTCGGTGTCGATTCTCTGATTTCTTCGGCCGCAGACCCCCCCCACTGTGGAGCGTCGCCACGCCATGCTATGTCAGGCTACGCGTCCTAATTTCCGAGCTTCCGCGCTTGGGCGGTTGTTCAAAATGCTGCTCTCGCTGAAACGCTGGCCTCATTTCCGCGCTTCCGCTCGTTCCGAATCGTGCTCCCGCTGCAGCGCTGGCCTCATTTCCGCGCTTCCGCTCGTTCCGAGTCGTGCTCCCGCTGTAGCGCTGGCGTCATTATGTCCAGCGCCAGGCCACGGCATGGTTTTCGGTCCTTCCAGATGGCACCAAAATTTGCAAAATGCCCCCCCCCCCCCCCCGAAGAAACCATCGGGAGTGATCACACATTCGGTGTCGATTCTCTTTGTCTTTTAGACCGCAGGAGTCCCTCCCCACTGTGAAGCGTCGCCACGCCATGCTATGTCAGGCTACGCGTCCTCATTTCCGCGTTTCCGCGCTGGTGCTTCCCCCCCCAAAAAAAAGGTGCTCTCGCTAAAGCAGCGACCTCATGTTCGGGCTACCGCTCGTTCCGAATCGTGATCCCGCTGCAGCGCTGGCCTCATTTCCGCGCCTCCGCTCGTTCCGGATCGTGCCCCCGCTGCAGCGCTGGCGTCATTATTTCCAGCGCCATACCACGGCATTGTTTTCGGTCCTTTCAAATAGGCACCAACATCTAGAAAATACCTCCCGAAGAAACCATCGGAAGTGATTCCACAGTCGGTGTCGATTCTCGGATTTGTGGACCGCAGAAGCCCCCCCCCCTTCTTTGGGACGTCGCCACGCCATGCTACGTCATGCTACGCGATGATCTTCAACACCATGCTATGCCATGTAATGCTATGCCATGCTACGACATCCGATTGTGCGAGTAGCGAGGAGATCTACGCCATGGTAAGGAATGGGAGGGAGTCAGATATGACGCGAGCGCACCTAGCATGTCCTCACCCCTCCCCCTCCCCCTTCCTCCTCCTCCTCCTCCTCCTCCTCCTCCTCCTCCTCCTCCTCCTCCTCCTCCTCCTCCTCATCATCATCATCATCATCATCATCATCATCATCATCATCATCATCATCATCATCATCATCATCCCCCCCATTTTCCGCCCGCGTATGCCATTTTACTCTCTCCGCCTCCTCCTCCTCCTCCTCCTCCTCCTCCTCCTCCTCCTCCCCATGGTTCTCCTTTGGCGCCTTGACCATTGTGTGGAGAACGATGTCCTCTGGGAGAAAGGCGTTCGTCCGCTCCACGAGGCGACGGAGATCATCCCCGTCGATCACCAGCCGACCAAAAGGAGGCATGGGAGAAAGAGGGGGGGAGGGTGTGGAAGGAGAAGGGAGTTGAGAGGAGGAAAGACAGAGGCAGGAATGAGGAAGAGGGGCGGCGTAGGAGGCAGGGGTGGAGGAGGAGAGGTGGAGGACTGGAATTGAAGTGGTTCGTTTTATTACCAGTAGTTGGGAAGTTGAGCCAGCTGGATGAGCAGGGGAGGGGGGATGAAGAGGGGAAGGACGGAGGATGGAGGAAGCAGGGAGGAGGGAGGAAGGCAGGGAGGCAGGGAGCGGCAGGAGGGGAGATGCGAGCCCTGCTTGGGAAGGGGCTCCTCCCTACCTTTAGGTCGGGCATGTCCCCCTACAGGCGGATCTTGAGTGAAAAAATAGAATATTCAAAAATACACCAACATAGTCAAAGAAAATATGCCAAAAATAGTCCCCAGACTATTGCTTTTTTTTTGATACTCCTCATGTAGAGGGACACGCCCGACTTAACCCTACTTCTTTCCCTCCTCCGCCCTTTCCCCCCCCCCCTCTCTCTCCCCTCACCCTCTCCCCTTGTGCCAGCGCCGTGCCGTCGCAGAGCCCACGTGCAACCCCAAAGAGTCCCTCCTCCCCCTCTCCTCCCGCCCCCCGCGCCCTCGCCCTGCGCCGCCGACGCCGGAGGGGGACGAGGCGCGACCCGCGACCACGTTGCAGGCGGCGCTCACCCCCGCGTCCGTCCTCCCCGACCTCTCCCACTTCAGCTTGGCCAGGTTCCCGAAGTTGCTCATCCGGATGGCCCCGGCGCGGAACAGGGCGAGCTCGAGCTCCGCCTCTGCCAGAGGCCACCCAGGCGGCCATGGTGGCCAGGCCGTCAGGCCCGGGGTCGGGCGGGGCCGCTCTTGGGGGGCCGTCCTCCGAAGGCGCCTGGAGTTCCCGGGGGCGTCGGCTCCCGAGCCGTCCAGTGAGGGCCCGTCCAGTGAAGCCTTTTTTTCCCAACCATCCTGCGGTGTGTTGGGTCCTTGTTTTGAAGAGACGGTCCCCGCGTTCTCCTTCTCTCCTCCTCTTCCCCCTCCTCCTCCACCGTCCGCATGCGTCCCGCACACCCAGTACAGCGCTTCGTGGCCCCATAGGGAGCCCCACCGAAGGTCCCAGAGCTACCGTCCTGCGTCCCGCACACCCAGTACAGCGCTTCGTGGCCCCATAGGGAGCCCCACCGAAGGTCCCAGAGCTACCGTCCGCATGCGTCCCGCACACCCAGTACAGCGTTTCGTGGCCCTCCTCCACCTCCTCCCTGCGGTACACCCACCCAGTACTGCGCTTCGTGGCCCCATAAAGAGCTCCACCGAAGCCCCCAACGGGACCGTCCGCATGCGTCCCGGTAACCCAATTTGGCATTTTCACTCACTCAGTAGAGCGCTTCGTGGCCCCATAGGGAGCTCCTCCGAAGCCCTCAGTGGGACCGTCCGCACGCGTCACGGAAACCCAATTCGGCACACCACCCACACAGTACAGCGTTCCCCCCTCCCAGTGCAGCGCTTCGTGGCCTCATAAGGAGCTTCACCGAAGCAGATATTCACAAATACGGTACCCACAGCTGCATATGGTTGGGACCTTCGCCAGGAGAATTGTTTTTGGCATCGCTGTAGACTGCCAGGCCGTGCTCGCGAACACGCGCGCGTGAAACCCCCTAATTCGATGCGCTCCCGGAGTGGCGCAAGCGCGGCCTGTCTACATCTCGATGTCTGGTGACATGGTCTGCGCCGAGTCGGCAACGACAATGACGTGCAGAAGCAGTGAACACCCAGAGCCGCTCCGACCCCTAACCAATGCCGTGCAGAGAAAAGGTGCCCTGCAAGAAGGCCGACGAGCGCGGCGACAGTGGCGGAGCGATGCAGCTGCGAACGCGGAAGGTCCCGCTGCGCCCCGTGGGCGCAGGCAAGCTGCCCGGCCCCACGGGCCAAGCCCCCGACCGTACCCCTCGGCTCATCCAGGCCTCGGGAGAGCGGGTAAGGAGGAGGGGCAGAAGGAGGAGAAGGGATGGAATCTGCGCGTCACTGCACGCTGCAGCCCTTCTGGTAGAACTTTTGGTGGTGTCTCTCCGCGTCGTGCCAGGTCTCCATGCGCGCGGCGTGGACCTCCCGGGCGCCTCGTCTGGCGCGTGCCTGCAGGGCCTTCTTCTGCTCCTCGTCGTGGTACCAGACTGCCGAGTGGTGCTGCGTCTTGGTCCCAGCCTGCACAGTGGCAGTGTGGGGCTGTGCCCCCCCAGCAATCGCCAAGCCCACTGGCGCAGGCGTGCGCTCGCGAATGCGGTCAAAGTGAGTGAGGAGCGCGTCGTAGGTGATCAGCTCAGGGTCGAACTCTATGCGGATTGCTTCAGAGTGCCCGTCACCAAGTTGCACGCTCTCGTACGTGGGCTTTGCCAGCGTGTTACCCCCAGTGTAGCCGACCGTGGTGCTGAGGACCCCGCTCACCCCGTCGAACAGCTTCTGCGGCTCCCAGAAGCAGTCCGTCGAGAACGTCGCGACCTGGCGCGGCCGCCGTGCGGCATCCGTGATGGTCTGGACGACGCTCGCCAGCAGCGCCGAGTAGTCGGGCAGGCCCTCCTCTGGCGGGCGGAACCTCAAGATCACCATGGACTGCACCTCGGCCGGCTGCCTCGCCAAGAGCTCAAAGGCGCCGTCGTCGACGGAGTCACCTGCGGAAGGCGGCCAGCCGCTCTCCCTCGACGGGCGCGGCGGGCGCCTCCCCGCGGCCGCGGTCGGTGCAAGGCGCGCCCGAGCTGCGCGGCCCGAGCGCGCCGTCCTCCTCCTGGAGGCGCCGCAGCGCCTCGACGGCGGCGAGCCGCGCCCGCTCCACCTCCTCCGGCGACCCGTCCTCCGGGCGGAATCGAGGCTGCTTCATGCAACCTTTGTCTGGGCCGTTCTTGATCTTGTACTGAACGCGCCACGCCTTGTTTCTTGTGTCCCAAGATCTGTACTTGACGCCGCTCTGGCGCTCCGCGCTGCCGAGGCTAGCGCGGCGCTCGTCCGAGCTGCTCGGCCCGAGCGCGCCGTCCTCCTCCTGGAGCCGCCGCAGCGCCTCGACGGCGGCGAGCCGCGCCAGCTCCACCTCCTCCGGCGACTCGTCCTTCGGGCGGAATTGAGGCTGCTTCACGCTACCTTTGTCGAGGCCGTTCTTGATCCTGTACTGAAGACGCCACGCCTGGCAACGTTTGCACCAGGAGATGTACTTGACGCCGCTCTGACGCTCCGCGCTGCCGCTGCGTTCAGAAGGGGCCCGCCTGAGCTCGCCGAGCTGATCCTCCCCCTCGAGCCGCCGCAGCGCCTCGACGGCGGCGAGCCGCGCCAGCTCCACCTCCTCTGGCGACTCGTCCTTGGGGCGGAATCGAGGCTCCTTCACGCTACCTTTGCCGAGGCCGTTCTTGATCCTGTACTGAAGGCGCCACGCCTGGCCACGTTTGTACCAGGAGATGTACTTGACGCCGCTCTGGCGCTCCGCGCTGCGTTCAGAAGGGGCCCGCCTGAGCTCGCCGAGCTGGTCCTCCCCCTCGAGCCGCCGCAGCGCCTCGACGGCGGCGAGCCGCGCCAGCTCCACCTCCTCTGGCGACTCGTCCTTGGGGCGGAATCGAGGCTGCTTCACGCTACCTTTGTCAGGGCCGCTCCTTATCGTGTACCGAACGCGCCACGCCTTCTTTGTTGTTTCCCAAGATGTGCTGGATGCCGCTCTGGCGCTCCGCGCTGCCGGGCCCACCGTGCCTGGCCGCGGCTAAAGCGCGCGCCTCGCGGCCGGTGCCAGCGGCCGCAGCCCGCAGGCGCGCCCCGCGCACCAGGGCGGGCCCCGCGGCCGGCCCGGCGAAGGCCTCCAGCAGGGCCGCGCGCCCGCTCCCCACGGCCGCCGCCAGGGCTGCGCCGACCGCTGCCGCGGCCGCGCCGCGGCGGCAGGGCATGGCGCGCCACTCGGAGCGCAGCGGCGGGCCCGGCGGGCGAGCGAGCGGCGCGGGCCGGGTGCTGGATCCGCCCCGCCAGGGTGCGTGCTCGAGCCTCTCTAACTTGAGCCAGAATGGCTTGAGCCGTCCGGTAAGGCCTTTGGGGCTTCGAGGTCACGGGACGGCTCATGTCGCCAGACGGCTCTGGAACTCCCAGCTCTGAGGGGGGACCACCTCCCTCGCAACGAGCCTGGCGAGGAGCCCAACCCTATGCAACTGGGAGTGACGCGATGTGGCCCACTCCTCGTCGGTCGCCCACCGCGCATGGGGGGGGGACACGGAGCCTGCAACTGGTGCGCGAGGCGGAGACGCCATGCGGTCGCGCCCACTGGGACGCAGGTGGAACTCCGAGTGGGGCCACGAAACGTGAGAAATGTGCCGAAATCGGCGGAGGGACGCTGCGCGGTCACCACCACTGAGCCCTCGGTGGAGCTCACTATACGAAACCACGAAGCGAAATGGGCGGCGGGGCGCGCCATGCGATCTGTCACACTGTGACCCTCGGTGGAGCGATGGGGCCATGAAACGCGTGAGAGGGCAATGAACGGGAAGAGAAGGAGGTAGAGAGGGAGGAGGAAGAAGAAAGCGAGATGCGCTGCGCTCAGGATTCACAAACTGAGGACCAAGCTCAGCACGGGAGTGTTGGACGCGGAGGGGGAGGAAGCCGCTTGGATTGGGTGAGATTCACGGACCTCCATCGCCCCGAACAATCCCAGACCCCCGACGTCGTAATTTGTTCACAACGTCGACCCCCAGAAGTTTGGACCCCTTCCCCAGGACCGGTTTCTCGTCCTGAGCCGCTTTTTGCCGGTTCCGAGGCCCGGTAAGGGCCTCTGCAGGTCAAAAATAGCGGAAAACTGTCCGCCGTGATTTTTTTCACTACGCGAGGGAGTCAGGGCCCATCGTGTCGAGCAATAGGAGCAACGTCTTGCACAACTTTCGGCGCTCAGGGGCTTTCGGTGGGCCCTGGGGCCGTCAGGAGAAGACTCCCGGAGGAGCAACCCGTCATGTGGAAGGGGCCAGGAGACCCCGGGGACGTCGTGCCGCGAGGAATCGCACGACGGCGGCTGTCTGGGCTCGCACTGCCTACCCTCCACATGGCACGAGGAAGGTACAGGGAGAGAACTAACGACATGGAACTTAAGTCGGGCGTGTCCCCCTACAGGAAGGATATTCAACTATAGTTGTTGTTCGAAACATAATCTGGGGACGATGTTTCTACTGTTGTTGACTATGTTTGAATAGTTGCTGCATATTTTTATTTGTCTTCCAAAATCCGCCTGTAGGAGGACACGCCCGACCTAAACATAAACCTGAGAAGACTCGGAGATCCGCGCGGATGTCTCGGATCGGAGCTGGGGCGCGCTGAGTTCTGAGGTCTGTCTGTGTCATTGTTTGCTCCCTTCGGTGGCAACTCATGGGAGCCTCCCATACCACATTGTCGACTCCTGCGAATCGACACTAATCAACACGAATCAACGCTAATCGACGCTAAATCGACGTTCATCGACGCTAACCGACGCTAAACAGGCGCTGTCTCATCGACCCCCAGACGCTAAAAGACGCTAAAGATGGAATTGCTACATTCCTGGGGCCCGAAGGGTGCACGAATATTACAAAATCGTGTCCATCTCGATCCGAGTCGATGTCGCTTCGATATCGATTCCTGCCGGCCCGATTCGATTCGACTCCCATCTTGAAGACCGACCGCCGTTCCTGTTCATTTGAACAGGACTCGCTGTCAGTGTCGATATACGGGGGTATACCAGGCTCCCATGGCTTGCTACCGAAGCTCCCTTTCGGGTGAGGGCCCCCGGAGGCCGAAAATAGCGAAAAGTCCCCCGTCGCGACTTTTGCACGACGCGAAGAGGTCTGGGGAATCCTCCAGGGCCCGCAGCTGGGCACGTCCCTTGCTTACCGAACGCGCCCACTGCACCCGTCCGGGCCGAAGCATCCTTCTTCGCGGCGCGCAGGCGCCCACCTGGACCTTCCAGAGTGCTAAAACGTAACCCTCCAGACCTATATCTAGGTCGGGGAAGTCCCCCTACAGGCGGATTTTGGGCGAAAAATGAAAAAGGGTCAAAAAGTACAACAGAACATAATCAAGAATAGTCCAAAAATCGTCCCCAGACTGTTTTCTAGATTATTCTTGAATTCTCCTCCTGTAGAGGGACATGCCCGCCTTGACTCCAGACCCACATGCCTACCTGGACTGCTTCGAAACCTCGACAGGACTTTGGACGCCAAGGCCCTGGTGCCAGCTGTCAGCCCTCGTGGAGGGTCGGGGCACGCGGCCCCCCCCCGCGCAGGGCGGCGGCCGCGCCGCGGGCCTCCACGGTGCTGCAGCCCGCGTTCGCGCTCTGCTGCAGGCCCCGGTACCTCGGCAAGCCTCCGGCTGGAGGCCTGGACAGGGGCACCAAGACCGACACAGGGAGGGGTGCCTCCACAGGGGGGGGGGAGATGGTCCTAGATTTCCGTGTTGGCGGTAACCTTTCGGCCACCTTGGAAGCCAGACTATGACCACCATCGCCGAGACTGGGATCTCCTTCCCTCGGTGGAGGCACACCGCCGATGTTGGTATTGGTGTCAACCTCTAGGCCTGCGATCTGGGCGTCGCTATGCCCGAGCCTACAACCCCAGAGATCCACCGTGATTATTGAATTACGCTACCGAGGAACCCCACATACTTATATTATGGCTGGAGTGATGAGAGCTGAAAAGAAGCATGTGAGAATGATGTTGGTGGCCGTTGCCCCGCCGATACCGCTGTGCCCTGGACGACCGTCACGGATAGCGGCCGCGGTGAGAGACCACCCCCTGCGCACCCCCTTATGGTGTCGAGAATATGCCATGCCTGCTGTGCCCTGGACGACCGTCACGGATAGCGGCCGCGGTGAGAGACCACCCCCTGCGCACCCCCTATGGTGTCGAGAATATGCCATGCCTGCTGTGCCCTGGACGACCGTCACGGATAGCGGCCGCGGTAAGAGACCCCCCCCTGCGCACACCCTACGGTGCGAGAATATGCCATGCCTGCTGTGCCCTGGACGACCGTCACGGATAGCGGCCGCGGTGAGAGACCACCCCTTGCGCACCCCCTATGGTGTCGAGAATATGCTATGCCTGCTGTGCCCTGGACGACCGTCACGGATAGCGGCCGCGGTGAGAGACCACCCCCTGCGCACCCCCTATGGTGTCGAGAATATGCCATGCCTCTGTGCCCTGGACGACCGTCACGGATAGCGGCCGCCGTGAGAGACCAGCCCCTACGCACCCCCTACGCTGCTGTGCATGTGCTGTGCTGTGCTGTGCTGTGCTGTGCTGTGCTGTGCTGTGCTGTGCTGTGCTGCGCTGCGCTGTGCTGTGCTGTGCTGAACTGTCAGGAAGCAAGCGGAGGAGGGGAGGAGGAGAAGGTGAGACGCGGGTGCGGCGCGGCAGGGAAAAAAACAGAACCCCACGAAACATGTGGGGAAAAAATCAGGACGGAGGTCTTTCGGAGTTTTCGGCCTCCGGGAGCCCTCACTGGGCCCGGGGACCGCCAAAAAAACGGCTCAGGACGAAAAACCGGTTCCGGGGAGGGGGTCCAGACCTCTGGGGGTCGACGCTGTGAAAACATCAGGACGTCGGGGGTCTGGGAAGACACGTCAAAAACACTTTGCCGGTTTTTGTTTTCGCTGCTTGCGCGGTCGGAGCTGCTTCAACGATGGCATGAGGACCTTGGCCCACGCGCAGGGGTGTTCGAAAGTCGGCACTGCCATCGCAGAAATGCAGAAACGTGTTCTGTCAAGTGCCCGAACCATCGGGCGCTCCCTACAGGCGGATTTTGGAGAACATACAAATATTCGAAACATACTCCGATAGATATATATATATATATATACATACATACATACATACATACATACATATATATATATACATATATCCTATACGACCACCCTTCGGGTGATAAGGAGGTTCGGGGGGGGGGAGGATGCAGCGTCTCACTCGATCGGTCTCACTATCCATCTCACTATCGGTCTCGCTCGATCGATCTCACTCGATCGATCTCACAATCGATCTCACTCGATATATCTCATTCGCTCGGTCTCACAATTGATATGATTATCGATATCACAATCGATCTCACATTCGGTCTCACTATCGATCTCACTACCGATATCACAATCGATCTAACAGTCAGCGTCATCATCATCATCACCAACAAAATCATTTTCATCGTCATCGGGACACTGTCGTCATCATCATCATCGTCATCATTATCAACGCCATCATCATCAGGCCATCACCATCATCCCCATCATCATCTCATCATAGTCAGCAGCATCAGCATCATCATCATCATCGGCACACAGCTTTCGTCATCATCACCATCAACATCATCATCATCATCGGGACACCATCATGGTCACCATCATTGTCATCGTCAACATCATCAACAACATCGGAACACCATCATCATCATTTAATCATCGTCATCATAATCAACAGCATCATCAACATCATCGGGACACCATCATCATCAGCAGCATCATCGTCACCAACATCATCATCAATATCATCATCGGCACACCATCACCATCACCATCATCATCACCAGCGTCATAATCATCATCATCGGGATACCATAATAATCATCAGCATCATCATTACCAACAGCATCATCAACAACAACGGGCAGAAACATCAACATCATCATCATCTCATCATCATCAACAACATCATCAACATCACCAGCGGGACACAGCCATCGTCATCATCACCATCAGCATCATCATCATCATCGGGACACCATCATGGTCACCATCGTTGTCATCGTCAACACCATCAACAAAATCGGGACACCATCATCATCATCATCAGCTGATTATCATCATCATCATCATTAACAGCATCATCGACA